CGCAGTCATTGGCGACATAGTTCGTATCCGTACGGGTACAGTCTGAGAACGCATCCACGACTTCTTCCAGACACGATGGATAGCTTTGAAGACAATGAGACCCAAACATGGCCATTTTGATATCGTCATCGGACGAACCTAAAGCCGCATGGCCGGTGATCATCTGGGATTCGGTATCCCAGTGAGAGTCAAGGAGGAGAACGGAGACGTATTGCTTCTGGCCGGGCTGAGGCTGGAAATGATTTCGCACCGCTTCTTTAGCAATGGTGAATAATTCGTCTCTCTTCTGAGCTTTATCATTCTGCTGGGCGATGTTGAGATCTCGAAGTTCCGCCACTGTCTTCTCAGTGCGGACTACGTGGATCTTGGCTTCATTCCGCATCTGGCTTTGAGCAAAATCACGACGGCTCAAGCTACCAGACTGCCACTCTTCCTCAAATCGGAAACATCGCCGCCCGAAATTATTGCGGAACATTTGTTCACCGGTGAAGGCCTGCCAGAGATAGGCTGCCATGCGATACTTTCGAATCGCCATTTCCAGCCCGTTTCCTTCGCGCTCGACCCTTTCCGGTACTGCATCGTATGTGCCATCTGAATCTTTCCCCAGGAGTATCACGAGGTGTAATGGCGGGTTGTTGACCAATGGAAGATAGTTGATGCAAATCCAGGAGGAGTGGATGGCGGGGTGTGTGCTGCCTGTGGACAATTTCGGCGAGACAAAGTCAAAGCGAAGGCGATTGGGACCGGGAACTAGATGAACGAGAACTTTAAAATGCGACGCCGTGACGGGCCAGCCGGTCGACGGGAAATTATCTTGGTGGTGATAGACGGTAACGTTTCCGTCCAGCGGATGTTGCCTTGGGTCACCGATTTGACCATAGACGAGTAACACTTTCTGGTTGACCTGCACAATAGTTAGACAATTGGTTTGATTTCACTAGAGAACACCATGTGCCTCCGATTGCTAGGCAAACATACCCATGAATTATCAGCCACAGACACGACTCTTGGCGCATAAGGCGAGACGGGAGCTTGTGATCGGTACACGCCATTGACTGAAGATGAGCTACTGCACTGCCAAGCAATTAGAGTCAGTATCGTCAGTCGTAGGGGAGGAATGCGGATACATACAATAACGCTATTTCGCTGAGAGCTGGTCACCTGAGGCCCCGGTCGCTGTGTAGGGACCACTGGGGTACTGACTGCACTGCTAGTTTCAGATTCATTGAGAGCAGGAAGACTGGGGGTTGAAACGGTAGGTCTGATCGATGACGGTGGAGTGATGGAGTTATGGGAGGAAGTGTCGATCGTGGATGAGGATTTCGCGGAAACCTCCTCCACACTATGAGATGGATTCTTGTGAAAAGTGGCCTTTGATCGACGCCGTAGGTCTTTAAAGAACGGCATGACGAGGTTGAGAGAAGAAAAAAAGACAGAAGCTGCCCAGGTGTTTTTAGAGCGGGTAAATAGTGTCAGGAACAAGTAACCGTTTGCGGTTGACGACGAGTCGCCCCGCAAGTCACCAGATAGGGGGGGGAAAAGGGGATTAAATTATTGAATTTAATGTTAATAGAAGTGTTTTAGAAAGAGAAGAAGAAAAAAAGCTCTACGAACAGAGATTGCCCCCTCTTAGCTCCAAAATAATACTAAGCACTATACTTAGAGCACTTTGGAAAAGAAAAGAGTATTACGTACCCTCAATCTTCGCCTAGGCACTTTTCAGTAATGTTTCAGTGTGGATTCGGATCGCACTAATATTCTTAGCTTAAGATCTTGAGCTCACATACCTTGGCTATGACCAAACCGGTATGCCGATAGATATTGTTTTAGGGCCAAGTTCCCCATAAATTTCCCGACGTTATGCTACATTTTCGGCCTTTGGTTTCGATTTTAGAGCTACGTAGGTGGCTCATCCAAGAGGGTCCCCCAAGGCATTATGGCTAGATACTGCACACCAGCCCAAATACGAATTGAGTTATTTTTCTTCTCACTGTCTGAACATCTAGAATGGCCTATTTTCTCCTATTTTTTTCCTTTTTTTTCGAACCCATGAGGATTTGTCCCATACTATATTGTACATATTAAAAGGACAACAGCATATAAATGCTTCCGGCGATCTAGAGCATACCTCAGAGGAGATACCTCATTCTCCAGTTCAAGTGGATCAAACGCTGTTTGCCGCATGCCTTGTTTCTATGGGGATCCCGGAATTTGACAGGAAAACATCTTTCTTCTTTGAGACTTTAAACTAGTACTCCGTATACTGTACGGAGTACGGAGTATAGAAGAAAGTACTCCGTACCCTATAAGTGGAAGCCAAAGTAAATAGATAGATCCATTTTTGGTACAAATGATCGGAACACAAATTATCAAATTCAGGACAATAAATAATAAAGCAACTAGATAGGGGTTATTGAATTGAACTATATAGAGATAGTTGCATGCGCGTAGTATGTACAAGGCACTCCGTAGGCACTCAGGAATAGTTTAGTTATGATACATAGTTACATATAGTATAGATTTGGAACAAAGCCGAGAGACTCAAGAAAAAATAATAAAAAAATAAGAATTAGAATTAGACAGTGTTTCCTAATGTCTAACTATTCAACATCAGCGAATAGAAATTAATTTCTTTCAGCTTTCTATCCCAATCTGTTCAAGTGCTTCTCCAGGATTGTTCTCGGACTTCCCGCATTTCGCTAATCTCCCACCCTTCCCTCTCGCCCTTGCTCGCCCCCAAAACCCCAACATCGACTCTACATTCGAAAACGTCTTTTCTTTTTGCATTGGGGTGTCTTACTTGTTTTCTGTTGCGTTCCTGATACAATGCCTCTATCACAGCCGGGCTCGGCAGAAAAAACGATCCGCAAAATCGATATCGCCCAGGTAAGAGAGATCAAATAAAAAAAAGAAAAGGCAGATCCCTCGAGATGCAGTCTTGGCTGGTAGCCTAAATACTTGCTACTGCATTTGAATGCTTCCAGATGATCTTCTTGGTGATGTGGCACTGACCCTGGATCCTCTTCGCACAGGTTTCTCTCAGTCTGCAGGATCGATTGGGCCTCGCCAAACTCAAGTACCAACACGGTCGACTGCATGGCTTGAACCCGAACCAGCAGGATGGCCGAGCCGTTCTCGAAAGTGACAAGCCTTCCGACTCTTCATCTGAGTTCTCACGCAGTCGTTGCGAGACTCCCATCACCTCCCCTCCCCTCCAAGCCTCCACCTACTCGAAGGAGCTTCCTCGATCCGCCCGCAACAGACATGCCGTCACCTTCAACTCTCGAGTCATGCAGCCCATGCTGTCTGCCAGTCGAAAGCGTCTGCGGTCTGACTCTGATTCCGAACGTCCTGCCAAGGCACCGCGGGTCTCGTGGAAGAGTTCTTACCGGCTGCCAGAATCCTCCCCTGCCATGAGCCGACACCGTACGAGCCGACGCACACAAGCCCCCTTCATGTCCGAGGCTCCAATCCCGGAGATGTCGTCACCTGTATATCCTGGACCTTCAGAAGAGATCGATCCCGATCTCCCATTGCACAGTTTCCGGGCTATGAGCTCGATCGTAGGCTCCTCCCCTCCACGAACCCCTCCTCCAAAACATATGCGATTGTCCCGCAACAACCAACCACAGAACCATGAGGATGGTGCAGATCTGCTCCTGTACCTCGCCAACTCCCCGACCCCTGCTCGGGTTGCAAGGGGCAACGGAAACCAGGCCTTCCCACCTTCCACCCCTCCCAGTCAGCACGCAGTACTGCCAGGCATGACACCCACGATGGGCGGCGGCATGTTTGCCAACATCAGCACACCGAATCAGCAATTCAATTTCGCTGATTTCGTGAATGTGACCCCTAGCCCGGCACAGCCAACCTGGGGTGGCCGCACCCCAGGTAATCCTGCTCGCACTCCGCTTACCAGCAACAGAAAGCGATTGAACTTTGATGCGCTGGTTCCTCCCGGCAACTCTAGCCCTCGATCTCGGGGCAAAGAAAAGGGGCTAGCGTTACAACTGGGCGGCGAACTGCACCCATGAAACCCAGTGTTTCTCTCTATTTTCTCTTCTCTGTCCATTTTTGCCTTACCTCCCTCTTAAACCCCTTTGACGACTTTCTTATGATCATGTTATGTACACATTGTGTTCATCCCCTATGTAATTGGCTCTATTTCCCCAGTGCAGAGGCTTGCCTCTTTCGAAGACAGACCTGAGTCTCGATTGGGAAGCCCTCTACCTGGACCTGCATCCACCGGCGTTGTCTTTTCATATGCTTTACTATCGTGTCTTGCGTTACCTCTCATTCATCAAGACCATATATGTCTTGCTTTTTCTATGTCATTGTTTGCCCTCGACAATTTCACTTATTTCTTTCTTTCATCCTTCTTTCTTTGCATCCACCATGTCTTCTTTTAGGAGCCTTGGATCCCTGCATGCCTTTGAGACTGACCAATATTTCTGCATGGCTGTCCCTAAGAAGGCGAATTGGAAATATGTTCATTGAGAACATGCATATATACCTCAGACCCTACATGGTCCTTTCACTGGCCCTTTTTATTTCATTGGCTCCGAATACCCACAACCTCAGATACTCCATACTACAACATCTTAATTTGGTTGAGTGTTTCAGCCCACAATATCCCGTATCTCTTGAAAACCAGCTGTTTTCCTTGGACCACGTAGTCAACCGTAGTCAACCCCTCATTTTCACGTCCAATCCGATCGCGTCTTTTCGCGTCACTTTCGCGTTGCATTTTAAGAGGCTTTTTGACAGCCAATCATAGACCTGTTACTGAAAACCAAATGTGATGTCATATGTATAGGGCTTATATGTGCATCCATGCATGTATGTAAATCTGCCTAAGACATAGGTAGATAAGGAAAATTAGAGCGAATAAGAAGTACAGACTATGGAGTATCATATATCCAAACTGATCTACACGGGGCCAAACCCCCCCCAATTATTATTAGCATCACAAAAGAACAAGATTTGAAATAATCTCTCATCTACTCCATTCCCTCTAGATCGACCTCCCCAATTTCCCCAACGCCCTTAATCTCACCAGCCCGCTCCATCTGTTTCCGCCACAGCAACGCCAAGTAATCTGACGAAGTAGCCTCATCAATAGACTTATCTTCACGAACCTTGATAAACCGCGGGAAGCGTAGACTCAACCCGCGCTCATCGCTGACAAGCCCAATAGCAGCCGGGTACGTAGGACTAAGCGTGATATCTGCAAAAGCAGTTTCCCACACCTCACATGGCTCAAACCACACATCTGGTTCGCCGTAGTACTCGACGTAGCTGGGACGCGAGATGACGTTCGTGCTGCCCTGCGCGTACTTTTCCTTGTTTCCTTGGTAGAACTTGTCCGTGAACCCCGACATGCACTTTGTCACGGCTTCCAGAGATCCTGTTTCTGGGTTCCGGACTGCTAGTAGGATCGGGGACCACCATTTCGCTTTTCGGCCTTGCCCATGCCACCCGGCTATCGGGATTAGGTCGAGGGTTTCGGATGATGTGCTATAGTCTTTTTTTACTTTCAGCCAGGATTCCAGGCGTTTGTCTGGTTCGTAGGTTGAGAGGAGGGGCTTGCGTCTGGTGGGCTTTTCTTTAGTTGGTTGTTCGATGGTTGTGGTTGTTTCGTTGGAGAGTTTGTTGTTGACTTGAGTGTTTGCACTGGCCACATTGTCGAGGAGTTTGACCATGATGCCCTCGCACTTGACCTCGATGGCAGATTTAAAAAACTCAAGGACAGACTCCGAATCCGCGGATGTCGCATCTATGCTCTTCACCCAGCCGAAGTGTTTTGGAATCTCTACAAAGAGACTGCGAAGCAGTTCGCGGCGTTCGCGAAAGGGGCGATCTAGTAAAGGCTCGCCGTTGAGATACATGAGGTCGAATGCAAAAAGACAAACATTGACTTTGATGTCGCCGATTTCAACATTCTTTTTTGCACGATTGGTTAAGACCTGGAATGGCTTAAGATCTCCAGTCTCACGGTCCACGGCAACCACTTCTCCCTCCAGGATAAAGCTGGACACGCCTTCCCCTCGTATTTGCGGAACTAGGGAGACAAGATCCGGATATTTCTCTGTCATGAGCTCAAGATGGCGCGAGAAGATAGAAACCTTCCCTTGCTCGTCGCAATGCACCTGCGCACGTTGCCCGTCATACTTGTACTCGCAGCTGAAGTCTCGGCCTTGGACCTTCGTCAACATCTCCGACAGATCGCGCGTGATACTGCCCAGCATCGGCCTTAGTGGAATGTGCATTGAAAGACCACATCTGATCAAAAGCTCTTCTGTGGGCCCGATCTCTAATAAGCAGGGCACCAAGTCATTATAACTAGGATGTCTAGCGTATGAAGCTTTAACAATTTCTTCTGCGTTGCTGTAAATTTCCGCAAGCTCGTCCTTCTTCAAGCGTGCAAGTTGGTGCAGCGGACGAACCTCAAAATCTGCTCCGACTGGCTTGGAATATAAGACGGCTCGCGCGAGAGCAATCAGCATCGTCGTCTTGACTGCGCCAATTCGCAGATTTTGGACCAATGTCCGGACAATGTATCTACTCTCTTCGGCGCCGCGCGCATCCTGTAGAAGCTTCTCGACGATCCTCTGCTTGATTTCTTGACTACCGGGTCCTTTGCTAGTGGCGATTTTCTTCAGTGACTGGTATACTCCCTTGATTCTTAACGGCTTCGGCTTCACCAGAGTAAACGATTGTCGTTTTTTGGCTTCGAATGCAACATCTCCTGCATCGCCGTGCTTATCATATAGGGTCTTGAGTCCTTGGTTATTGAGGCCGTATATCTTTTTTAGTGCTTTGGAGATAGAAGAACCTCCCAGGCCTAGCTCTAGTTCTTCGTATGGAGGTGATATGGAATTGGTTGCTAGCCACACAGCAGGCAGGATACTCGATGGGTCCCCTTCGATCAGAACCCGAAGAAAGTTGACCAGCGTATCAACAATCTTTATTCGACTAGTCGTCGCATTCGCCAGAATAAAGGCTCTTGTTAATAAAGCGTAGGAAGCATCTCCGCCTTCGGTTGCCCAATGCGACTGCAATTCAGCCGCGTATTGACTAGCATCGAAGGTTTGGGGGCTTTGGTCAAGGGGAATAGCAAGGGATATTGTATCCTCCGTCCCAGCTGATGACTGTAGTGAGAGAGTGCTCTTCTTTGGTATCACTGGCGCTACTGGGGGTGAGACAGGCGAGTCTAAAGTAGATGGAGCTGGGTTGGTCTGCAGATTAAATTGCGTATCTTCGATAGGAGTGCTGGTATTCTCCTGCTCATTCCACTCGGCCTGTAGCTTGCGCGCAAGAGCTTCATCGGAGAGAGTTTGCTCAGTGACATCGGGGACGTTTAGATTGGATTGTTCAGTGGCCTGTCCTTTAAAGAACGACGTAATACTGCGCGTTGGTTGCGATGAATCTCCATTTCTTTTCCGTTTCTTGGCTGGACTAGACATTATTCAAGGTGTTGATAGTGTGGAAGCTCATGGTTGCCACTGCGGAAGACGTCAGTCCAAAAGGCGGAGATCAACATTCGCGACACCTTGCGCTTCCGCAGTCAAGTTTCCTCCCTTCAACCATGGCGTCCCTCGCGGAATTATCTTCGCATGAGCGGACTCGGGTCGAAGATTATTTAAATGACAAAATTCAGGTTTCTGCCGATCTGGAGAGTTTAGATTCGCTGCTATCCAGTCTACGCGCGCAACAGGAGCTTCAGCGGAAGCAGGTACCACCCCTCACACCGATCTTCTCTCTAAACACTACTGATACAAACTTGTGAAATAGTTAGCAGAAGCCAGCGAAGCGCTCTCAAATGCGACAAAAGCCTCCAACGACCATGCCGAAGCTACTCGAAAGCAAGCTGAGGCGTTCACCGCGGAGCAAGCGGACATCGACCGACGATTAATGGCCATCACACAATCCGAAACTAGCGATGAGGCAGTACGGAGTCTGGAAAAGAGCATGGAGAAGCTCCAGCGACTTGAATTATCCAAGGGATACGTGGAGTTGCTCAAGGAAGCCGAGGAATTGAGGTAATGCCACATTCACCAATCGTGAGGGGCTGGATACTGAGACAAAAATACAGCAAGCAAGCTTTGGCAGACATTGCCTCCGAACCACGCGCCGCTTTGAAACCGTATGCCCGACTACGAACCATCGTTGGACTACTGAAGGATGCCCAACCTGCTGCCGAGGGAGCGGCCCCCCATCTTGTCGACTACACAGAAAAACTAGCCTCTGCATTGAGGCGGCAGATGAAGAAATACTTTAGTGACCGGCTGCAGAAGACGCTGGAAGAAATGAAATGGCCAACGAGACAACTGAATCTTACCGACGAGCTCTTGGCCCGGTGGAGGCAAGATGTTGAACTGTTGATCGACCTGCAACTACCGTATGATCACCACCTTCATGCCTGAATGCATATTCTAACAATTTTCCTCTTAGTGAACTTCCAAGTCGTGATGCACTGGCTTCCGGGCTAAATTTCGAGTCACCAGTCCTGTTCCCATTAGAGGTTATGGTGCATCATCTGGATCTCCGATTCAAATATCACTTTAGTGGAGACAAGCCAACGAACCGACTGGATAAGGTAATGTCACCCTATGTCTACGCAGAAATATAAGTCTAACTTGGGTTCTAGCCTGAATATTTCCTCTCGCACATAATGGACCTTGTCAATCAATTCGGCGGATTTTTCGTCTCTTATATGCAGCCCATCTTCGATGAAAGGGCCGAAGCAGTCGGTCCGAGTCTGGAATGGAACTTTTACAATGCATCGCACAGTTACATTACTGCATTGCTTCCTATGCTGAAAGAGAAGATCAGCTTGTTCCTCCCTCAAATCTCAGACTACCCTCAATTGCTCAGCCACTTCATTCATGAACTGATGAACTTTGATAATGAGATCCGAGAAACATGGAACTATATGCCAGATCCATATGCGGACGACAATTGGAAGGGCATGACCTGGGAAGTGTTGACCAGACAGGGCTGGTATGATCGATGGCTTCAGGTTGAGAAGGACTTTGCGCTGGCGCGATACAAAGATATCATCGACACCGCGGACAGCGGAGAAATCGATTACGATGGCATGGAACCCACTGCAACGAAACCAACAAAGGCTGCGATTCGCGTGAATGATCTTCTCGAAACTATAACCGAGCGCTACCAGCCTCTGTCATCTTTTAGTCAGAAGTTGCGGTTTCTCATCGACATTCAAATCGCGATTTTCGACCAGTTCCATGAGCGTCTCTATTCTGCACTAGAGGCCTACCTCGCAATGACATCGACGATTGGACGCACTGTACAGGGAGCTGGCGGGCAAGCTAGTGTCGAGGGTGTCGCCGGGCTGGAGCGGCTTTGCAGGGTATTCGGAAGTGCCGAATACCTCGAAAAGAAGATGGAGGATTGGAGCAATGATGTGTTCTTCGTTGAGCTCTGGTCCGAGCTTCAGGATCGGGTTCGACAAAACCGAGACAGCGGTCGCAACGTAGCTGGTACTATGTCTGTCGCAGAGGTAGCGTCGCGTACCTCACCCGCAGTCACCAACAACAACGGCGCCCAAACTGCAACCTCATCCGATGGCGCTCTTTTCGATGAGACGGCATCTGCTTACCGCCGTCTCCGACTTCGCTCGGAAGCTATCATCACATCAACCTTGTCCTCTAATATCATCGCTGCTCTGAAACCCTATTCTCGCGTATCCACATGGGCAACGCTGTCAACCCCATCTGCTACAGCGACAGCATCTTCCCTCTCACCCACTTCCGATCTCGCCCATGCAATGCGGATCTTGTCCACGCAGCTCTCCTTCCTCTCTCGCGCACTGGGAACTGTGCCTCTACGACGAGTCTCCCGCCAGCTCCTGTTGTCTGTCCAAAGCTATATCTGGGACAGCATCCTGACCAAACACACCTTTTCTGAGACTGGAGCGGCACAGCTTGCCAGCGATGTCGACCATCTCTGTCACGTTGTTGATTCTGCACTCGGCGCAGCTAGCTCTGCGGGCATCTCATTCCGAACCATCAAAAAGCTCAGCGAGGGACTGCGTATACTTTGCTTGAGTACGGCCGAGCAAGAAGACGTCCCTGCAAAGGAGGACCCGGCTTTAAGGCTATGGGATGTGGAGAAGAGGCTGTTTAGGGATAATGAGAGTGCACGGAGTGTGCTTGCTGAATTGGAGATAGACTCTCTATCGGAAGCTGAGGCTCGGTCCGTGTTGGAACGTAGGGTCGAGATTGGCAGTTGATGGCTTTGATATCATTCTATACCCAAGCCATTCTCTTTGCACGGAATTTATTACTATTTCTCAGAGTAGGTATAGTTCGAAACTATGCCGACTGCTCTACACACTCCACATTTGAGCTCCGAGATATTGGCTCATCTTGTTCTTAGGGTGTCAAATTGATACACACAGCCTTATATATTCCACCAGATCTCCTATATGTCGTATCCCGTCTCTCGTGTCCATAAACTCTACCCTATATGTGCAAGTAAATCAAAAGAAATCAAATCACGCACCTGCTCAAGCGCGATGGACAACAGGTCCGTGTCCACGCTCACCAAGCCGCTTGTGCGGAACGGCCGGGTTGCTCGCCTTCAAAGACTCAATGATGCCAGGACCGACCTCTTCGATGGCACGGACAAGCGAATCGACCGTCTCCTTTGTTGTCTGAACATTCACCACACACCTGAAGAACTTTCCATTCCCAGCGGCATCCTCATCCCCACTGGGAGGCGCAAAGTCCACCATGAAGCCCTTGGGTACGATCGCATGCGTCACCTGCTCAGTAACCTTGCTGTTATTCTTCGCGCGCTGTGTCTCATTCGAGACCAGGCCGCGCGGGTAGACAAACTTCTTGCCTGGGGCGTAGTAAAAGCACACCTGCAGACAAGGCGGGGGATTTTCGCTAATAAGAACGAAATCGGGATGTTGCTCGATGGTGTTGGCCAAGTGCGCAGCGATATCGCATGCTGAATCGATCTGCTGTTGATATCCCTCGGTTCCGTAGTATGTCCAGCCCAAAAACAGCTTGAGGGAATCAGCACGTCGACCACATTGGAGAGTGAGGTCTGCCAGGTCCCACACTTCCGGTGAGTCGACTTCCAACTCGGATTCTTTGTTTGCATCGCCGTTGGCAGCGGTCTCATCTTCTTCGTTATGGAATAGATATCCCGCAGGAAGAGTGTTGGCCTTGTGGAACTGGCGCATATCCGATGCTAGCAGGTATGAACAGGTGACAGGAACGCCGATCATTTTGTGCGGGTTGATGGCGATACTGTTTGCTTTCTCTGCGCCGGCTAGCTTATGCTTCTGGCGCTGGGAGAAAACGAACGAGCCACCCCAGGATCCGTCGATGTGGAACCACATGTTGTATTTGCGGCAAATGGCTGCGATTTCGTCGAAGGGGTCGAAAGAGCCCAAGACAGTTGTGCCTGCAGTGGCATTAACATAGAAAGGCGTCCGGCCTTCGCTCTGCGCCTTCTGCACGAGTTTCTCGAGCTCGGCTGGGATCATGCGGCCGACCTTATCAATAGGAACGGGCCAGACGGCACTGCTACCGAAGCCGAGCATCTGAGCCGCCTTTTCTACGCTGTAATGCCCGTGCGCGCTCGTGAAGAGCACAAACTTGTACCCGCCGTTCCCGTCTGTTTTGGTGCTCGGGTAGAGGTTGTTGCGCGCAATGACAATGGAGGTGGTGTTCGATGCGGATCCGCCTTGCACGGAAATACCTCCTGCACGTGGACCGTTCAGCCCGAAGAGGTTCGCCAACCGCTGGCCAGTATATTTCTCAATGACAGTCAGCGCAGGCGACACCTGGTAGACGTGTACGTTGGTGTTCAAGGTAGCGAGGATGAGCTCTGCTGCCACGCCGGGCGCATTGGTTGACGCATACAGCTTGTCCAAAAACCCCTGGTGCCAGGTGTTGACCGAGTATTGCAAGACCTTTTGCAATACCTCAATGAGACCTTCCTGCTTGGTGCCTTTCTCTGGGATCTCGAGCTGAAGGATATCCCGCAGCTCTTCGGGCTTCTTATAATCTACCAACGAAGTCCCCGCCAGTCCAGTGTGTCCATTGGTGCCATTCTTCTGTGCCGAGGTCCCGCGGGGATCCTCGTCTGCGGATCGGATAAAGGGGATGAGAAGGTCTTCCACTGCTTTCAGAAGCTAAGCAGAGTGGTGATGTTGGTATTAGAACATTGATCAAAGAATGCCGCGGGGTGCAGATCATTGCGATATGGAGTTGACTCACACTTTGCACTTCATCAGCGCGGCTGGGCTGCGCAATGCCTGACATTTATACAGATTCTCACGTTCTGGTATTTTGAAATGCAATAAGAGATATGATTGAGTCTATGCAGAAGAAATGGGAAAAAAAGAAGACAGTAGGCGCAATTGGAAGGGAAAAAAGTTCACCATGCGGCGATCTCGGGAATGGCGACAATCCCGCAAAGCCTGACATCATCCACATCTTTCTGAAGCATGCGATGGCCTATACTTGGCTATACTCATATTTGAGTTGGATTATCATGGAGTTTGTATACTCCCAATTATCTAGATCCCTTGCATATGTCATATGCAGCAAGGATATTAAGATTTCGGCGAATCTGCAGGAACCCGGATGTGCTCACGGGATTGTTGTGTGAACTACCATGTATATACAATCTGTCAATTTTCTTAATATCTCTGATAGTTTTTGAAATATGATATCGATTCATAAGAAACTATTGAAATAGATATAAAGCAATAAAACAATTGAATATATGAACGCCTTTTTGTATGAGTACATGTGCATTTCGTCCAATATGTAATTCTATCATCACTGCCGGCTAGACACCACAGTCTGGTTCGCACCAGTAGCACCAGCTTCGACTGCTTCCTTAGCTGCTGCATAACGGGCCCGCGCCTGATCAAGTTTAGACTTGGGACGTTCGGCACGTTCGGCACCTTCATTACCCTGGGTTCGCTCCTCAAAGCCCTTGGCCTTGTGAGTCCAATCGCGTCGGCGGCGCTTGAAGAGATCCATTGACCAGTTTCGCCAGACTGCGCGACCCACAAAAGAATCGCGAAGCTCCTGTTCATGCTGCTCAAGTTCTTGTGCCATGCGTTCCTTGACAAAGAAGATATCCTTGGTTGCAGTCCAGAGCGCATCCACTACGTGTGAGCCGCTGCTGCTCAAGGCAAGAGGTGTGAGATGACCCTGGAAACGGGTGGTGAGCTGTCGCCGGATTTGAGGCGTAGAAGTTGTGGAAGTCAGGGCCTGCTGGAGAACTCGGGAAGAGGTGGGTTCTTGGGCAAGTTGTACGATAGTTTCGGATGATTGAGCGAGAAGACTGGTGTAGACGAGTTGGCTCAGTGGGCCAGGAACAGTCAACATGGCCTGTACCAGCAGAGAGCCATGCAATTTCTCTGCTTTCTCAGCCGCAGATACTGGAGGTGGGCCCCGTGGCTTACGGTCCTTTCTGTCGTTGTCCTCCTTTTCGTCGTTTTCTTCGTCCATATCATGGTCTTCAGTTTGCGGGGCTGTGTTCTCCGAGATGTTGAACTTGAGCATCTGCTGCAATCTGATAACAGGATCCTTGCTATAGGCATTCTCAAGCGCTTCGGCAAGAGGCTTTGTGTCGACACCACGAACGACACACCGCTCGATCAACATCTTGGGGACAATCAGTCTTGACCGTTCAATCAGGCCCGGGATTTCGGGGACAATGTTGGCCATGGCAATCTTCAAGTCATCCTTGCCGAGTCTTTCCAGCATCCGAAGAACAACATATCCAGCAGTGCTATTGCGAGCAAGGGAACCAATTCGGTCACCCAAGTTGTTCTTGTAAAGGTTTTTGAATGATTTACCAGGGAGGTATCGTACCATCGTCTCCAACAGGCGAGAACCCACTGGGTCATAGAGGAGACCACGAATGAAAATTGCGCTTTCGGATTCTTCCTCAAACGACTCATCGGGAACCAGTCTCCGGATGGTCGATTTGGGGTCTTTGGCGCTAGACTTTCCAAAATGCGAAAGCTCCAGGAACAAAAGTACCTGAAGTACGGGGTTTCCAACTGGATGCGTAGCCAGGGCTCGGAGATAAACATCATCGAGACCGGCAACCATGTCGGTCATGATCTTCTTGAGGGCCGGCTCAAATGTCTCTGGAACAGTGTGTTTCTCGGCTTTAGCTTTCTCCGCCTTCTCTTCACCCTGGATAGCCTTGATCTCAATTCGTTCCTTCTTGCGACTTGCGACAAACGACTCATTTGACGTGACATCCACTGGCTCGCCTGCAAGAACTAGCAGTAGCACTCGGATTGTATGCGATGCAAATCGCTCCGTCAGCAGGTACCCCCAGTTTTCCTTTAATTCCTCAATAACAGCCATGAACATTTCTGCGAGCGACAGCTCCGGCTCTTCCTCTCCTTCTTCGTCCGACTTTTTGGGTTGAGGTTTCGCCTTCTGCATCACAGCAGGCGCAGCGTGAATGAAAAGCGTCTCACAAACATGACTAGCGAACCGATGCTGCACCAGGTGAAGGAAGTGGCCGATAAATTTGCTGAATATCCGGCGCAATTGTTGAGTATTTGACATTGAAATCAATTTCTCCATGAGTCTCGAACAGCCCTGACTGCAGGCAATCTTCAACTCCTTGCCACTAGCTTCTGAGTACACACTGTCGACAAATAAGCTGCGCTCTTCGGCGTCCTGGAACTGGTTCAGCTCCAGCATTTCGTTGGCACGCTGGAAGTATTCCGATTCCTCCTCGTCCAGAAGACCATAGAAAGGCATATCGCCATCCAAGTTAGGTTGCTCGCCTTCCTGCTTTTCGCCCTGGTCAAGGGGAATGTAGTCCTCATTTTCGGGGAGTTGGATGTCATCGTTGGCCTCGTTGGTCTCGTCGTCGGCAGAGGGCTTCATTCGCTTCGCGACAGGATCTTCGGGGGTTTCCTCGAACTTTCTCTTGGAATCCTCTTTTTGGGCTTTCTTCTCGGCCCTGCGGCCTCTTTTTTGTTGTTCACGAGGCATTATGGCGGTGTGTCGTGAGGGAAGATGGACTTGAACCGCTGGAAATTTTTTGGATAAGCGGTGGTCCAAGCGTCTCCGCGGTGATACAAGAGTTTGGTCTGTTTGCAATTGCGGCCATTCTATAAGACCAAAACAGCAGGCCAATTATTGAGTAGAACGAATTATAATCGGATTTCATATGGCATAACTAATATACAGGTTTCCTTTTTACCCTTTAAACCGCAGAATAAAT